TGTCCTAAAAATTTTGATATGAGAAAAGAAATAATAAAAGAAAAAATGTAATAATCTCTAGTTATGATGTGCCATTATTGTATGGTCTGGCAGACATCAAAGTACAAACAAATTTTTCCTTTATATTTTTTTTTTTAATTCTCTGTTCGTGTATATGTAGGTATCATAAAAAGTACATATTGTAGGAGTACATACAATTATTATTAAATGTATATAAAATATAAACATATATTTAAACTTAAAATATAAATTAACTGCACATACTTTACATCACAATTTACATATATGCATAGTAGAACCTTTATTCCACAGTACAAGAATAAGTTTATACAGTTAATAAAAAAAAATTATAAATTTAACAAAATTCTTTAATATTTATGCAATCTGCTTAAAACATTTTTATGTAAACAGCAAAATAATAGTGTCATTAATATTAACTAATTTAAATGTAGTAGTTGTACTCATAATGTGCATACTATACGTATTTACAATATTAGAAACCATTATTATGTATTACATTATATACTATTTCTAAATGTTTGATTTATATACTGTTTGTGCACTAATATTAAATTTTTAAAATGATTTATTAATTCGAAATTTTTATAAAATTTTCCTAACTATAGATTATTTAATATTAAATTTAAGAATTTAGGAGAAAACATTTGAGTATAGCTCAAAGTAAAATACGTTTCCAAAAAGAAAATTAATGAGACTACATGAGTAATTTCTAATTGAAGGCTCCTGGATTTCAGAAATATGAATATTTAACATTGGTTTAAAGCAAAATTTAAATATTCACTTAAATATTTTTTGCTATTGAAATATTTTCTTTAAAATATAGAAGAATATCATTAAGAAGTTATGGAAAATATCGCTAATCCGAATTTGCGCGAAACAAATGTAAATTGAGTTTTAAAGAATAAATTACATTTTTTTTGGAAAAATTGTAACTTTTGCTGGTCCATAAATTCGAAAGTAAACGGAAAAATCCATTCCGTCAAACAATTTTTGACAGAATATAACTGTGTGACAGAATAATAAAGCTTAACTGTGAAACATTTACACTTTAATAAAGTAAAGTACTAAAAAACTCAACTTTAGTATTATTTCTAATTTTAATTGTATACCATTAAATTGACTATAACGGGAATGCAGCGATTTTAAATTTTATATAGGTACTTTTTCAATTGAATTGACGTAAAATCTAATTTATCTTCTAAAATCATCTAAGAGTTTTGTACTATACCGGCCAATCACATTTTAATCACAATAATATTTAAATTACATCGCAAAATTTTGCTGGCATCCGTTTAACAAAGCTTTATGTACACAATCTATTTTTGAATTTAAATTTAATTTTACTATTTTAATAGATTTCATTTTTCACAAAATTCTATTAAAATATTTTTTATTACCTCACAAAAATTCTAATAAAATTTCAATTTCTGAAAACCGTACGCGTAGTATCCTAGCAATTATTAAGCATTCATTAAAAAATGAATTGCTTAAATACACAATAATTATAATTGATATTTTGACTCGAAATATCGTAAAGTAAAATTAAATTTACAAATCATGAATTTCAATTTTATAAAAATTTAATTATAATTATTTTTATACTCTTATACATATATATATATATATGCATATATAGATGTATAGGTAAACCAAAATGAATATTATAATGTTAGTAAATACATAGGACGATAAAGTTTTATCTCTTTTTTATATACGGCTTTAATGTATTTTTATTGACATTAGAATGTAGGCGCCCCCTAATTAAAATAAATAGATATTTAAAACCGAAAAAACCTATTAACCTTTCATTTTCTATCAAAATATTTTAGCTGAAACACCAAAAAAAAAAAAGCAATAAAAAAATGGAAAAGAGGAACATATAGAAATTACACGTAAATGTAAAAACCATTCAGAAGTTTTTGAATTTTGTTTTTTTAGTAGGCATATGCAACCATTAAAATTTTGCGCCAGTCTGGATATTTTAGATAATCATACTTGTTTAAAAAAAAAAATTCTCTTAATTAATCTTTCAGAAGTTTCCAACTTGGATTTAATAAAAATTTTTCACCAATTTTCTTGGAAATCTTGTACGCAATTTCGAACTATATTTGGATCCAGTACACAATTATGATTCAAAAAATTTTTGTTTCTTAATAACAACACGTACCGCAAACCCTTAATCATATGTTGCATATTTCTGCCTTAAAGAATTAAATGTACAATTATTGCTTTTTTTATATCCTAAAAATACAACACCATAAAAAAAGGAAATTTTTACTTCTCTTCTTTTCTATCTCTGATTATTAAAATTGGTAGTGTTTTTTTTCACATTTTCAGCTTTATGACGAACATTTCATGGTCATTAGCGTAAGCTCATTAATCTAATCCATTTTACAATTATGTAAATATATATTTTTGAAGGTATATAAATACATATATAGTGTTGGACTAACAATTAAAGTATTGATAGGAAATTTCAATGTATCCTTTTCTCTCAAAAATTAGAGTTTACTTGCTCACCTATATTCAAAATACTCACTAAGTATATTAGAAAACTTTTTGAATTTTTCTTTTTTACAACTCGTTTCTTCTTCTTAATAATTCTCTTAATACGCATTTTCTTTTGGACCGATCCTTAACGGTATATGAACGATAGCATTACGATAACAGTAATTTTGTTTTTATTACTTTTTAAGTGTATTATTGTGTAAAGCTCAAAGAGAAAAAACATAAATAAGGAAAACTTTTTAATATAAGTTTTTTTGTTTTTTCTTACATTTAATTTTGAAATACAAGTTTTCAAGGCGAATCACTTTTTGAAGTGTGAAATCAAAATGGAATAAACAAAAAAAATTCTATTGGGAAATTTTGTATTAATATCTATACCTTTGAAATAAAATTGAAAATTAACCTGTTTTAATTTCATGCTGCAAACCGATCTCAAACTAATTTGAAAAAAAGTAAAAACCAAGTTTTAAAAAAAAGAATAAAAATTTAACGGTAGATAAGAACTTTGGGGCTGTTGTTAAATACAATTACTCTGCACAAATTTATGAATTAATTAATGTGATTAGTACGAATTTGTTCCCATCCTCACATTGACAAACTCAAGAATTTATGAAATTAACTAATTAATCTAATATGAAAGCAATATAAAAGTACATAATTTTCGATTGTGGCAATAAAGTCTCATGCATTATATTCAAAGCCAATTAGCCCGAAATAATTGCTTTTTCATATTCCGCAAAAGTACATTGTTTAAATCACATAGGTTAAAGTTTGTTTTTGAAAAATTGAAATACTGCAAATTTGTAGATATAAGTTTTCTTTTTCAGGGGTCAAAAATGATGAATGAATTTATGTATGTAGTCTATTTATATAAATAAATTTGTATATAGTACACGGTTTTTCCATATTTTTATCAATTACAAAATAAATTCGCCGAAATTTCCCATTTAACTTAAAAAATGCAAATAATTTTCAGTAAAATTTTCATTTCAAATCGTCAAACTTACTAACAGGGAGACACAAAAGATCTCCTATCAAATAACATTTTGTATATTAAATATAAATCTGTGGTTAGAAGCAAAAACTTTGTACCTCCGACCAATTATGGTATTTTGGAGTTATTATGATAATTGAATCATATTTTTTGCATTCTGTAGCAAATTGAACAATAAACATCCCTTAATTTCAAAATTATGCATTAAAACATAAAATGCTATAATTTTTCTTAAAACTTTCACATATAATTTTGACCTTAACTTGCTATCGAAACATGGTTATCGATCTATTTGTTTTTTTAATGCATTTACTTCTTTCAAGACTTCTTTCCCACTAACCAATAAAACCTTAACAAAATTATTTAATTATTGTTTTTTACCGATGCTACTACAGAAACTGTTCAAATACTTACCATACCCTATATTTATAACGCAATAATAAGGTTAATTATTTATTAATTGTTCTCAAAGACAAAATCAGTTTTAAAATTTGAGATTCTTGAAACCTCAGCTTAAAAATAATAATATTTTATCATTTCAAGTGATAACGTAATTGCATAATGCAAAGGTTTTGAGAATAATAAAACACTAAAGAGCACACAAATATAGGGAAACAACCATAAACTATGAAATATTTTTAAAACTCTTAAGAAGTTTCTTATCGTCAGCTTAAAAAAGCATATTGAAACAATAAAAAATTTTTATTGCGCGAAATCTCACTTATTTTTTATACTTTTAAGCATCATACATTTTAAACACGTTTAAAAATTCAACATGGCAGCTATTATTCCAGTTTTAAAATATTTAAAAATTTTATCTCTAAAAATATTGTCAGCGATATTTTATTATTTTCTCTCTATTGCACATCAAAATGACACACAAGTACTCTTTAAGCCCATATTTAATATTTTTGATCTCTTAAATATAATAAACAAAATGAATAAAAACATGGAAGAAATTCGCCATTAGAAATAGGTGAATACTTTTTGGGTAACAAAACCAAGGTAAGATTAGCTAAAGAATAGTAAAAAATTTCCTTAAGCCTCCTCTTTTACTAACAACAAAAAAAAAATTTCAAGGACCATATATAAGAAAAAAATTATACACCAAGGTTGAATATCATACAAAAATACAATAACACATACATATAAGCACACACATTTTTTCGGCAGAAATTCTATGAAAAAAACGAAAAAAAAAACACATTGCCCTAAGGGTTTTAGCCTAAAAGTTTCTTTCTTTACTTCTTTTCATACATTTATAATCAAAAAGTAGAGAAAAAAGCCCATAATGGAGAAAAGAAAGCATTTTTAAAAGTAAGTTATAATTTTATTTTAGTTTTTATTTTCTATATTAATACCTATACACATATGTATGTATATAATGTACGTGTCTATATATTATGTATTTCAATATATAGAACATGTGAATGTTAATTTATAAAAGAAAAAAAAAATAAAATATTTTTTTACTTACCCCTGATGATAGGTATACTGTGACTTCCCCATTAAACCATGCCAATGTCTAGGTCCTTTAAACCATGTTGGAAAATCACAACGTTCAGCTAACGGTGGTTTTCTAAGTGTCATTATACGCGAACCAACCTAAATTTTATGAACATTTTTTTTTCGGGCATTTATTTGTTTTTTTTTTTTTTGGTAATATGAAAGAGAAAAAAAAAAGAAATTATAATATTAAAAAGAGATAAAGAACAAAAGTTATAAAAAAAAGGATATAATACATTAAAGAAGGATAAAGGAAAATGTAATATGTATGTGTTTACTTTTTATATAGGGTATTCCATGACTGATATGGCATTTACGTTGATAATGACAAGGGCCATTTACAATAATTATTATTAAATAACAAAAGAGTTTTTCAAGCAACATTTTCGTTCTAAATTTCTATGACAATAATAGAGGAAGTTTTAGTTTGTTACTCACACATTTATGGTACACAATTCCTAGCTCAAAAATCTTTAAATATCAGAATTTATTCTGAACCGTTTTTCAAATATAACTTAAGAATAGCTTGCATTTTGTTTTGTAACTTTTGTGAAAAGAAAGTACTTCCTCTGCATTTTAATTTAAGTTTTGACGCTTTAAAGAACAATATTTGATATATTTGATTTCTTATATTCTTGTGCCAAAATATGTAAAAAATGTCTCAAAATTAGAACTTTCGAATGAATCAACTAAAAAGTAATCATGGCTTAAATTTACATGAAATTTCATATAAAAAGAAAATGGTAACGATTAATTTATAGATTCAAATAAAAATTAAAGTATTTTCTTTAAATATGAAAATAAAACTCCCAAAAAAACTTTTAGTATAGAAATATATCTATTCGATAAAATATTTCTATATATAAAGGATGTTTATTACATTAAAGGCTGTTTACAATAAATTGGGGATTGATTCTGATATACACGCAAACACAAAATTTATTCTGCAGCATATTTGTGAAAATATTGAACATAGAAGATTTCTATTTCTGAGAATAAGTCATAAAAATTATGTTTAAGTCTACCCTGGAATATATTTTGGTAAGAGAAAAAATAAACTTTATCCATAATAAAAAATAAAAATTAAACTTGATAAAAATATATGAAATAGAAAATGAAAAAAGGAGCAAAAACAAACAGGACATTGTAGAATTCAATGCATTTCCCGAATTGTGAAAATCGGAAAAATTTAAATATACTACTTATAATTAAATCTATAGCCGTGTATTAGTTTGTATCCCATTTAATGTTTGCGTCATTAAGACATTGTTATGAATTTTTCAAACTTAAATTAACCAACACAATTATGCAGTTTTTCTTCAAAGTTTGTCATAAAGGAACTTAATTTGTGTAAGAGTAAGTGCATGCTTTTACTTTTTAGTACGTAAAATATCTTATGCTCGTTTAATCCGTTATTATATATTCGTTTTGCCATTAATAATTGCGGTCAAACATGATAACACTATGATAGCTATTAGGCTATTGAATAATAGTGTAATGAGATTTTTGATTGAAGTCATCGTTTTAAATTCAAAATGTTTGATTATAATTTACTTTCAATTGTAACTCTGCCTCATATTTATTTTTGCCTGAATTTTAAAAGAACACTTAATATTTTTAAATGTTGTAAATAAAATGTTGATTGTTTGAATAACGTAGTTTAAAACATAATTAATATGTTACAAACAGTATTACAGATTTGTTTGATTTGATTCCATACTTTATTCTAACTTAAACTTTTGTACACATTAAATGATATAAAAGAAATCACATGGCTTATCACAATGATCCAACTCTTGTGTCTTTGTTTGACTTGATATTTTAGAATGCAAAAGCACACATATAGCGTTTTTTCTAACTTTTTGTCTTAGACCAATTAATTTTAATTTTTTAAAAACACAGCAAAAAAACTTATAATTTAATATTGATAAATTTTTTGTCCCAAAAAAACGTTAACATTAAAACGAATTTTAAATTGAATATGAGAAATAAAAAATTTTTTTCAAAATTATTTTCATTTTAAAAATCCCAAATTTTTTCAATGGACATACGGAAACGAAATTTCGAAAAAAAAAAAAATCATTATAAAATTCATTTTAAAAGCAAAAGAGGAAAAAAATATTTTAATCATTTGTCAAAATGTCGTTATATAAAAAACCAATATTAAATTATACGGAAAGGATAATGAAAATATCGATTTAAAATTTTTAATATGTATTCAGACACACAAACATACGTATATTATTCAGTAATTTTATTCTTTATCCTTGAATTAATTTATCTTTTAAAAACAAAAACAAATATATGACAAAAAAAAATTTTTGTTTTTTTTTTATTTTACCTCAGCACTATCTAAACCATTGCAAGTGGCATCACCAGATTGTGCCAATTTGTATTCAGCATCCTTTGAATTCACATTGCTTACTCCACCATTAAATCCACCTAATTTAAAAAGAGAAAAAATTAGAAAAAAGTAGAAAAATAAATAAAACAAATTAATTTTAAATTGAAAATAAAATAGTGAGTGAACATAAATGAGCATATAAGAGACGACATGAAAAATCTAAAAAATTTTATGTTCACACAATTACACAAAAACACATACTTATTCAATATGTAAATGGCCTGAACATATAAGCATATGTACATATTTTATGCAGTTTTGAAGAAAAAACTGAAAAATTTGGAATAGAATCTAGTTTGAATATTGGATTTTAATAAAATTCCAAAGTTTTTTTGGAAAACAAAATCTAAATTTGATTTCTTTTATTAAAATATTATGCTTTTGCATTTTGGGGAAACTTAAATTTTATATTTGTGTACTGCACTACATAATAAAGTCTGGTTGATACAAATTTTATATTTTGTTTTTGATTAAAATTAGATTTGTAAATTATGGAAACGAGGACTTAGATAAATCTAGTGTGCACTGTCATTTCTAAGTAAATAATCCCCTAATGTAACTCTTTGATCAACAGTTAATGAATGAGTTGTTGATAGCAAGATATACTTGTACTTGGGAACCTTATATTATTTGTATTTAACATGTGTCTATCTCCAAATAGCCTTGTGCCTTCTCTAACACTAAATTTTATTAAACCGAAATAATATTCTTACCCATCATTGTTGAAATTTTTTCGTATACAAAACATCTATAACGCTCCTCGTTCGATATGGCATGATGATGTGACACTAATCCAACTAAATAACGTGAATTTCCATCTTTCCATGTTGCCAGACATGTTAATTCTTCAGCTATAACATAAAAAAATATACAAGGATAATAAAGATTTTATTTGTCACCGTAAATGTGTACACATTATCAGAAAAGTTAACAAAAATTCTAAAAAATAATCAAATTTTCAATATTACGAATTGACTACAACTGTTATTTTAGACCGAATTAAAATAGTTAAAGTAAAAATAATATAATGACAAAAACATTTTTTATATTTTTTTATATTTTTTTGAAAATGTCAGCAAAAATCAAATTGTAATTTAATTTTTGTTTTTCCTTCAAAATTTTATTGTGTTTCGGACATGGAAATGCAACATTGAAAATTTGAAATAGAACGAAATGAACGAAACCCAAAACGGGAATAATACAATATTTTTCTAAAAAAAAAACATAAAATGTAGGTAGATAGAAAAATAAGAATGACACTAGAGTACCGTTCATTTTAATGTATTTCAACGATAAATATAACGGTAAAAGTGCACATAAAACCACATTTAATTTTATTTCAGTTGTTATTGGTTTTCATATGTACACACATACATTTATATATCTACATGTTTCGTAATACTTTGTATAATTTTCTTTTGTGTCCTGGTTTTTCATGTTCTCAGGCTATAAAAATAAATGACCACAAAATGAACATGAAATACAAAAAAAAACAAATAATAGTTCTGTATTGCTATATCCGTTGAGTTTCCCGTTATATAAAATGTACATATACACATACTCGCTCTATTATAAAAATAATTTTATATACATATTATTTTACCTGCACTTTCTGTTCCTTGAACATCTGGACATGCTTGAAAATTTAATAATAAACGACTTTCATCAGTACAACTTTCAATATTCGATACAGGATTCCTACATTCACCATGTCCTCGATTATATGTAAATGTAAATGGTCCTGCAAAAAGTAATATCAGCAGAGAAATATAAAAATAGATATAAAGAGATTAAGAAGTTATAAATATTATAGGAAATAAAAAAAATAACACAAAAAAATATTCTACAAAAAACATCAAAAGGGTAGGTAAAAAAATCATGTCTTCTACTTCTTTCAAAATAATATAAGAGTGTAGACATTAGACAATGAAATTAAGTAAACAAGGATAGCACCTACATGTACTCCTAAATATTTTTGAGCTATATATTAAGATGTACATGTGTATGTGATGCAGAATAGAAAATAAGAAAAGGTTTTCAAAATAAAATTTTCATTTTTGAACTTTGTGATTCTTTAATTGTCTCGATGTTTCTTAATTATTTTGTTAAAATAATTATAAAAATCAGGAATGAAAGTAAAAATTGTAATAAACGGTATTAAATGGTTCAGAATGCATTATGTATAGGGGAAGAAAAATGAATGTAAATTCAATGTAATGTTAATAATTTGTTGTCTAAATATTTATGTCGTTGTATAGTATAACACCTTGTGCCTTATATGGGCAGTTTTTTCTTATTGCTAAAAAAATTAAAGTAAAGCTGATAATCGAACACTCCGCATTTACATATCGAAATAAACAACTGTAATACTGAAAACAAAAATATCCAAACAATAAATTTGTAAATGACGATTTCATTTAACGAAAAACAATTCCCATTTTACAAGAAAACAATTTTTGGCCGCACTCTCGGCAATTTTTTTTATAATTAAAATAATAAAAATTACATTTCATATTTACCTCTTAAGGGGCATTTAACAGGTTCAGCTTGTTCACGAAATAAACTAAAAAGTAAAGCATCACCAGGTATTTGATCACACAAATTTTGTAAAATCTCACGTCCTCGACAGAAACCTGAGGGACATAAAGGGTGAAAGAGTAACGGAAAGAAAAAGTGGGAGATTAATGCACAAAATTTCATATTATTTTTTTTTTCATTATTTAATTTTTTTTTTAATTGCAATTATATAACGATTATCCTATATATACGTATTTCATAATATTATAAGTGTACATAATTGCAATTTGAAATTTATGGATCAAATGAGAGAAAAATTTTAATAATTTTTTAACATAATCACAAAATTATAAAAATAGGACAATCTAAAGAATAATTTATTTTAATATAGTAATTAAAAGTTTGACATTATTAATCATTATAATATTAAAATAATATAAATATTATAATTAAGTAAAAATTTTTCTCTCATTATAAAAATCGATAAACGTAGGAAAAAAAAGAAAACAAAAATTAAAAGAAACAATATGCGAACAAATTCAATATTCAAAATTTTTCCACTTCAATATGAAATTCCTTTTTGTTTTTTTTTCTATATTTTGAAATATAAATAATTGCATTTTAATTTTTTTTAATTCAAATTTTTTATAATAGTTTTTTTATAATAGTTACATAATAATTAATTAAAATTAATAAATTTCGTTAGTATATATATATATATATATTAATAATTTTTAAATATTTATTATGCAATTAGTAAATCAAATTAAAATTAAATATAAATCAAAATTATTAAAAAAAATAACAAAAGTTTAGAAAATAAAAATTACTTTAAATGAAATATCCGTATAAACTTTAATTAATAATAATATTATTCAAATATTTTGATATTATAAATTATTATAAAATTTCCATAACACGTTTTAGTTCGACATTTTTTAAAATGTTATGGAATTTTAACAAATTTTGATTTAATACAATTAAATGTTTGAAATTCTCTTCAGCCTTCTCTTCTTAGAGAATTTATATTGAAAATATGTGTAAAAATTCTTATAAAATGCACTAACATTACTATAACTTAAAAACAATAAATCATGCGAATAAATTACACTCATATATTCCCAAATTTAGTTTGCTAACAATTTTAGTTGTTTCGTTGTAAAAAATTGCTTTATCAAAATTCATATCGGATCGAAAAAATTATAAATCTACAATTCATCTTCGTATCTCCTTGCAGCTTTGTTTTAGTTCGAATATTTTATAATAATTTAAAATAAAGTTGGGTGAAAGTAACACTTTTCTCTTCAGCAAGTAAAAAACAATCAATTACGATATTTAAATGACTTTCATTCATTAGCCAAAAAATTTCCAATTATGGAATGAGACAGGATGAGACAAAACAAAAACAAAAATGAAGGGGTATAGGAGGCGTTAACATAATGCTCGTATTTTACGGTTAATTGTGAGTGTTAAGAATAATAGTTATATTTTTAGGAGAATTTGAATTTTCGCATATTTCATCAAGGTGATAAAAAAATTTCTGTCAACGAAAAAAACTATTAATTGTTGAAATTTCAGATCCCTACAACTTATTGCCTACAAGAAAAACGATATAAAAAATTTAAAAAATAATGACTAATTTTAACAGTCGTTTTGTTTTAAACTACTAACTACTTCTACTAAGTCACTACTTTCTTGCGCTTGCAAAATTTGAAAAATGTTTATAATTTCTTTAAAATAAATAGTCAAAAAATGACATTTTTAGGTATTTGAATGGCTATAACTTTTAGAGGGGGGAGGGGGAAGACAGGTAAAAATTTTGTTCATTGTATAGAACCGAAAAAATTATAAGTCTACAATTCATTTCATTGTACATTAGCATATAAAATTTCAGGCTTCTGTTTTGAAGGGTGTAGAAGTATCGTAAACGGGTCCACGTGAAACTAAAAAATTTTTGGAAAAGTGCTAAAAAAAATTTTCGTTTTAGCACTTTTCCAAAAAATTTTTGAAAAAAAATGCTTATTAGTTTCACTCTGTCCGTCCGTCCGTCCGTCCGCCCGTCCGTCCGTCCGTCTGTCTGTCCGTCCGCCTGTCCGTGTGTCTGTATACAAATCTCCTACACCCTTAAAGATAGAAAGCTGAAATTTTGTACGTACATAGATCTTTACTAGAAACTTATTTCGGTAGAACAAAATTTTTATCTATCTCCCCCCCTCTAGAAGTTATATTTTTTGCAATGAAACCATAAGCATTTTTGAAATTTAAAGCTTGAAATTTTAGGAGCTTTTAGACATTAACAAATAGTTCATTTTGTTAGAAGAAAATTTTTTTCCATCTCCACCCCCTCTCAAGTTATCGCCTCTTGAAATTTGTAAAATTTGAATTTTTGACACCTTATACTCGTATTTCCGAAACCGCAAGGTTTTTGAAATTTCTAAAAACGCAAAAAGCTAACGGTAAATTCTATGACATTAAAAACTATAACTATTTTTCCTAACTCACACAATTAACGCATAAAATCGAGCATTATGTTAACTCCACTTTATATTAATTTTTGCTTTATTTTAAAGACTGCATGTATGCCTCATCCTAAATATATGCAATCCTAGAAATAGTTTTGTATATGAATGAAAATAATTTTAATAGTGTGATAGGTATACATAGACTGTATTTAAAAGCAGTATTTTCACTTGTTGAAGGGAAAAGTGCTACTATTTAAACCATTGGTTTGACTCAACTTTATTATTTTTGTACTTAATTTTAAATATTATGTAAGTCATAAAGCTTTTGCAATCATTTCAAATTTTGTCCAAAATATTTTGCTAATTTTATGCATTCTACATTATTAATAATTTCACGACTCTATGCGTAGTCACGTAAAACAAAAGCTTTTTGTCTGTTTCATGCCTTTTCTTCGAAGTTTTTTACAATTGCAGTTAACATTATTATTACTGAAACACATTTTTTTTAATTTTAGTGTTTCGATTCAGTGTTTCAATGAAAAAATAACAAAAGTGATATGATTTTTGCGCTTAATCAGGGACGGCATCATATTTTCTTGATTCGTTAATAAATCCATTAAAATTTTCTTAACATATTAGGGTTACATGATTTTGCAAATATAACTCGGAAACTGACGTTCATGGTTAGCACTATTTATAATAATGGCAAAATTCAAATATAAGAAAATTACATGTGACCTCATAACAATTTAAAAAAATGCACTAAAAACATCCTCATAAATAAATTTCATGTAAACTAATTATATTAATTATGTAACTTTAGAAATTAAAAAAAAAAAATAAAAAAGAAAAATCTAATATCAGGAAATCAATTTTCCTTTTCATTGTTTTTAATTAATAGAAGCTTTCACTGGTTTATAATAATTGCAATTAATTAATAATTTTGATTGGAAAGAACATATGTATACATAAAACATTCTATGTTAATTTACTTAATTAATTGTGGTTATAAAATTTCATAATAATTTAATAAATAGTAACGAAAATTAAGGTATGAAGTGCAGAATAAAGATAAAATCTTCCAAGTGTTTATACTGAAGTATTTACACTTGTATCGCACGAATATTCGGAACTCTTGACTTTAATTAAAAAGTAAATCAAAGTGGTTTCAATTCCTCCACACACAAATTGCAGCTATTAAAATTAAGAAAAATTGCCTAAAATGCTAGTTAAAAGTAAAAAGTGTAAAATTAGAGTGGGTACATTTTGTGTTAGGTAATCAAACATAAAATCACCGTTAATCCGGTTGTAATAAACCTACAAATCCACAAATCGTACTCAGAATAAAATAGCCCGATACCGAGGGCTATTTATCGGGGATTAGTATCGAGGATTTAGATAAATCCCTCAAGAGAACCGCGTGTCTTAGATAAGCTACTTGTAATCATTCGCTCAATGACGGCCTGGTTATTACATGATAGCAGTAGCAAAAGGACACATTTGTGATATTTGAGGTATGGGAGCTACTGCACGTTAACCAACCAATAAAATAGCCCGAAATTAAGTAATCAACTAGTATACAGCAGTATAATATATGAAGTAATCAATGTACAAACGTTTTTATATCACGGTTGCTGTAGCAGTTTTGATTTTTTTAAAACAATGGTTATTGAATAAATTACGTTATTTCCAGTCTTACATATTTACTTAGTTTGAAACCTATCTAAACTTAGAAAAATATTATTCAAAGATTATCACATTTGTTTTGTGATTTCGAATATAAAAAGAAGAGTAACATGCAGAAGTGTTTTTCTGCGGCTAGAACAATAGAGGTTTGGAAACAAATTACATTATTCACATTGCACTTGCACAGCCATTATATGTTATTATACTCTGGTTTATTCTTAATCTAATAAGCCCATAAAATCAGAATAAATTCTTGCAAACAAATTTTAGCTTTGTAGAGAATGCTGCTTCAACACTTTATAACCAACAACAAGTTTATAGTATATATTTGATTTTTGAAACCATTTATATAATATGTAAATTATGTTCATCATTTCGGAATTCACTGAAGCATATTACGTACATACGGAAACCAAATTTTAACGAAATTTATAAAAACTATTTAAGCTATTAGATTTTACAAATAAAACGAGGGAAAAAAAATTCCAATATTGGGCGATTTCTCAACCTTTAATTATAGACTTGATCACAAAGTTGTGGCATTTACTTAAGTATATGTATGTATGTCACTTAAAATTCTTTAAAAATTTCTAAAATTCAATAATGATTTTATTATTTCTCATATCTGAAAAATATTTTTTTGCTTGCTTTATTTTTAATCTAAAAATAAAGTGTTTCGCTATCATTTCTAATTCCAATGTCAAATAATAAATTGAAATTTTTTTTCAATTATCGTATTGTCTACATTCAATATAATACACAACCAAAATTAAATTGAGACAATGCTTAGATATACATATATTATGAAAAACAAAATAATACAAAAAAAAGGATCTCAAATAAAACAAGAAAATAATCGATATATAAAATTCTAAATTAGCAACTATGTTATATGTAGATTATTTCGTAACCGTAATGTAGAGATAAACACGTAATTAAACTTTCAAAAAAAAAAAACAAAAGTATCC